TCAACGAGTGCCTTTGGGTCACACTACAGACATTTATGCCAAGAAAGGCCACGCACTTTCCCATATCACATTCGACTCATGCTGAGGGTGTTGATAAAACCGAGGCGATTTCGAAACTTCAGTACACCCTAAATGAGAACAACTTTTGGGATAGCAAGGCTATGTGAAATTCATCGTGGGAAACTTCTACTACCAGTCCTTCATCACCTTAACTGAAATAGGGTGAATACATTTCATAGTTTGAGTTTGTCTGTATGTCCGGGATCAGGGTGGATGAGCAGGAGGAGAGTGGTGAGAGGCCTTTGGAGGTCCAACGCGGGAATATTGGGTTGGTTTGAGCTCGCTCTCGCCTCAAAGTAGCTTTGCTTTTGCGCTGCAAAGCTAGCCTTGTAGATACGGTCTCAACGAAACTGTCGCTGGCAGACTTTGCATGATACATAAACGTTGATAAGGCGCGGTGCTCCATACATAGAGGTCCCACCGACTTGTACCACTGCAGAGGCAAAAGAGGAAAGCATCTGCATTCAGAGACATGTCATAGGCTGTAGTCAGTACTCAAGACGCTCAAAAATGGGGAGTGGCTGGCCCAGTCGACGTTGCTATGATGTCAGGGTGGCAGGCCTTAGAGTGTAGTTGGGCTAAGGCGATTCGCGCTGCGTAACGCCCTGGTCCAATCTCTAATGCTCAAGGGTTTTCAGCTTAGTCACTACAGTCTATACATCCCTCGAGAATGCTTCAATTTTTGCATCTTTTTCGTTGGGCCCATTTCCAGTTTGAGTGAAGTGTACGCTGCAGAGATTTGGAGGACGATCACACCAGAAGAAGATGCCTGATTCCTTTTGGCCTGCTGGTATTTGGCTTTGCCACAGCATTCTGGTTAGCGCTTTTCCCGAAAAGATGTTGTTATTTAGTTCCGATGAAAGCACACTGAGCGTTGTCTGTATTGCCATTGAATAGAGGGAGAAAAGTTGAATATGAAGAGTCTCTTCGTTTTAAATCGCTTAGTTCATTTCCATTTCGACTCGATCCCACCAGAAGACGACGCCGGATTACTTTTGGCCAGCTACAGCTGGCTTTACTGTAACATATACAAAGAAAGGTTGGGTTTCGAGGAATCTCTTGTTTCATAATTGTTGAGCTTACTTCCATTTCGAGTAGAAGTGTTGGGTGAAGGCGAAGGTCGGTTCCACCAGAAGACGACGGCGAATTCCTCTTGACCAGCTATTTTACAGGAAGATTCATGCTCACGCTGTTTCCGAGGTAATCGCCTTCGATTCAGGTGAACACGTGCTAAGCTTTCGTCCGTCATATGACGGACATCCTCAGAGCGAGGTAACATCGTCACAACAAAATTC